CACTTAATTTCAACAGTCGCTCTATAACAAACGCTATAACTCATGTCTCACGGGGCCAACAATATTCTGTCCGCATACATTCAATTACTCATTACCTGACTGCAGTTGTTCCGTTACGTTGTGACCATCTTATATATACCAGACTACCCCCAATCTAGTATTCTCCCGATAATTCACGAAGGTTCGAGAAGGACGTGGCGTGATACTAGTCACGTGATGCAACAGTAATATATATTATAACAAGCAAAAGAGCGGAAACACAGCTATATATTTTTTAGATAAAAGCACTGTTTCAATTGTTTCACATTTCAAAGCTTAGTCTTGAACAACATCCTTTAAGTTTTCAAAATTACAATAGCACGTAAAGCTACTGCTGGGAGCATGCGCGCTGGAGTTTCTAGAAGGATCATGACTTTTCCTGGCAACTCTAGTCTTTTCCAGGCGCACTCTTTTTTGGTATATAAGCCCGGCAAATAAAGCGGAGATATAACTGCATAGATAGAAAGATTGAAGATAGTGATAATCGAGTCAAGTGGTAAGTAAAGTGTGTGAATCCCTGTGAATTATAGCGTGTTTTTATAAAAGTAGTTAAGTTAAACTGACTGTGGAAATTCTGTGTATTGCAAAGTTGTATTGAGAAAGAATAAACTAGTTTTATTTAAGAAAGGACTTGTATCGCTGAAGTTCCTCGGAAATAATTTATACCGGAAATTAACAAACGACCAGATACGCAGCACTACTATATGGTATACACACAACACAGATATATATACAAATAAATTTCACATTTTCATTAAAATGATATGATGTATAAAAATATAACACCTTCCACGGTATTAATGAGCAAAGTAAATAAATTTCTCAAACATAAAGGATTTAATTGATAAAGACTTTCAAAAATATAAATACAGTAGTACGTTCATCAAGATGTCATTGACACTAGAATTTTAGTTACTGCATTAATATTTTGAATCCATTAAATTATAAATGTTGATGTCGGTTCCAATGATCCTATAAAAACTAAAAACATTTTACATTCCACGTTCAGTCTCCAAACTTGCATACAAATTTAACGTTTATATTACTATACAATATCTTTTTTTCAATGGAATATATTAGTATTTTATTTCAATTTGTTTGTTATTAAGCACAAAGCTACATAATGCGCTATCTGAGTTGTGCCCACCACTGATATTGAATTCTGAATTTTTACGTAATAAACACTCGAGCTTACCATTTAATCGCTGGGGGTCATATTTCAGAGTTGATATTGTGTACGACAATATGACGTAGTTCGAGACATCTATCCCACTGCCTAAAACAATAATGTTTGTAAACACGTATGTTATCTTGAATAAAATCAGAAATCTTATATGGATATTAGAAAAGCTACACAATGGACTATCTATGCAGTTCTCATAACGGGTATCGAAAACCGGTTTTTAGCGTTATAAGTCCTTAGACTCACCACTGAGTCACAAGGGAGGGAGGGGGTTCTTTCACGAATTGTCTATGGCATGAACTGCACACACACACTGTTTTGGAATGTACAACTAAGGAGAAAACTCTTTCTGTTTCGTGTGTCTAAAGAGTTCCTTACACCAAAGTTGCTTTTTTCTTTCTTATAGATTTGATGTCTTGTTCATGCTTTACCTGATAATTGAATGATATAAATTTGAATTATATATCACATGTCATCTTATATGCTAAATAAATATCCACTAAAACGAGAGGTTGCATAAGATAATTTTAAATTTAATTTAAGAATGTTTCATAGAAGTTTGACATAGTAGCTGTGTGGTATATAAATTTACCATGTTTTTATCTTCCTATTTTGAAATAGTATTAGCCTAGATTTATCATTAATTTTTGCATTTTTCACATAATATTTGGTCAAGAAAATTTAGTTACCTTATTCCTTGTCATTTTATTGGGGTTACACCTATTTTACCCGTGAGTGAAATGGCTGTAATGCTGTACGTTGTGCAAGAATGTAGTGTCCTTCAGTGGTAGGTTTCGAGGTTAAAGCCTCACCTATGCTTGAATGTAAACAATCAATCACATGGGTAGCAATAGCCTCTAAATATATCGGACGTTGTATGCGAAGTAAAGAATGCTGAGTTCAAACAGTTTGATAAATGATTTGGGCCTGATCAGTTGAAGATGACTTATCCAGTAAAAGCAAGTACATACACATCTGTGCCTTTGAGAAGTAATGAAGTAATGTACAGCCTCTTTCTTTTTCAGACTCATTAATTGAAGGATTCAGTACTACTTCATAATAAATATCTTGTCGAATTTCCTGATAAGAAAACCTGTCCACTGCTGTAAAATTATCTCAGTTTTAACTTAAAATACCGCAACTACTCGTGATAACCATAGGAGTTTGTATTCTTTATGATCACCCAAGTAAAACTAATATCCATTGAATACTCAGTTTATAATTTATTAGATGAAGAAATTTTACTTATACAGTAATTCATGTGACATTATTATATAGACTGTTTCACTGGCCGATTACAGAAATGGCTTGAGATATAACTAAAATTCATTGGTCACAATACACTAGTTTCTCAAAGAGCGTTGTGTATGACCACTCCACACATTCTTTATCTCTTAAACAAACCAAGTCACTGGTAAGAATTTCATCGAACTACTGATACAGTTTTGGGGCTTTACAATTATAAGTTAGTAATAGAGCTGCCTTTATCATGTCCTTAATGTTAGGGTGTGAAAAATCGTGAAATAAGAAAGGGAGAATTGTCATAGCTGGAACGTCTGCCAATTCTTTTATTGAAGTAAAGGTTACGTATGATTATGGTTAAAAGCTTGTATCACGTTGGCTCTGTGCCTCTGTCCACTCTCTAAAGAAGGGAATCCCAACTCGAGGAGTGATATAGATACTTGTTCAATATAAATTAGGGGTTTCCACCCTTACGTCAGTGCCGTATGCAGCATATGATTATTTATACTGCATGAACACTTTATCTAATTTCAAAAAAACGGTAGCTCAGAATTCTACTTGTCGTTGTGCTGTATGGATGTTGTAGGAAAATATTCCGCTGCTCCAGAAACTGGTAAGAGACAACAGAAAGCTGTAAGTTGACGGGTATATGTACTAGTAGATACTTTTAAATATATTTATCAGATATCAGTGTACCTGAATACCACAAGGTCAGTTTTGAAATATAACTCATTTACCTGATTTGATCACTGATCTTATTTAGAGTGCAGACGTAACTTGATTTGCCTTATTTTTCTTTTTTGCAACCAAAAGACTGGTAATATCAGCTGTTCATTTTTTCAAATTTAAATAGAGTTACATATAATCTAGATGCTAATATATATAAATAAAAATGCTGCACGATCATAGAATAAATAATGGTCAAACTCACATTAATCATCTTATTATGTATAATATTAGAATTGACACAACTGCATTTTCAACCTTCCTCCGGTGGGACAGCGGTAAGTTTACAGACTTACAACTCTAACATCCAGGGTTTAATTCTTCACGGTGGACACAGCAAATAACCCATTGTGGCTTTACTCTAACACAAACAGACATTTCGTACCTTTTTCTGCTGGTAAAGTATAGCTGTTATTCACATAGATTTTTTTTTACTCTTTTTCAATTTTAAACGAATAACATAAAAACCAAATTAGTTTTTAGTGATAATTGTAAACCTTTAAAATAAATCATGCAAAATGATCCCATATTTCTAAATTTGGTATAGCAGAATCCACCTTATCTTTAGTCATGATAGAGACCTTAATTAAGTTTCCATTTTCTGTAAAGTTGTTTCTAGATTTCACACTGAAATATTTCTATTTTATATATATTTTTTGCCGCATGGATTCTCATCTAAGTTTATGGTGTAAAGTGAAAATTCACATTGATTTTTTTTTTTTTTAGTTTGATTATGTTATCTGGTGATACTCACTAAGGAAAGGATTTCTCTGATTTCCAAAGATCTGGAGTCACTTTTAATATGGTATATTAATGATTCTTGATTTTAACAATAATGTTTTTATAATTCTAATTTATTCAGTCGATCAGTATTATTGAGGGTTCGAATCCGCATCCTACCAAACATGCTCGCCCTTTCAGCCGTGGGGGCGTTATAATGTGACGGTCAATCCCACTATTCGTTTGTAAAAGAGTAGCCCAAGAGTTGGCGGTGGGTGGTGATGACTAGCTGCCTTCCCTCTAGTCTTACACTGCTAAATTAGGGACGG